CCCCCCCCCCCCCCCCCCCCCCCTTTCCCCGACATTTTTTTTCCCCCCCCCCTGTTTCCTGTCGCCCCCCCCCCCCCCCCTCCCTCTACGGCGACATGGTTCTACGCTCTCCAAATCACCACATCACACACACGCAAACACACACACGAACGTGATGCAGGGAGACACGGTCGACTTCCACGGCACGCCGTACGTCCGGATGTGTCTCTTTCCTTCGACCCAAGCGGTCACCGCAGGCGGATGACGACGCACACACCCTCCTTCTGCCCCCTTTCTTTGTAGCATTCGCGCTAGTTCTCCTCCACGGTGCCTTTGACTTTGCTATTCCAGGGGGTCTGAGCTGCCCCTCCAGGGAAGCGGAGGCACCAGAAGCTGCCATATTTTTACCAACCGAAGGGGGGGGCGTGCCTCCGCACTTCCCGAGGACGGTGGGGTGTAGTAATGTAAACGCATGCCGTAGCCGTTAGACCATAGACCTCGCGCTCCCTACAGTTGCCGGGACGGAGGAGCGAAATGCCGGGTTTTCGCCGGCCCGTGATGCTAACACTTCGTTTCACAAGGATGAAACAGAAGCTCTGGCGATGCCTCCGATTTCTCCTCCCTCCCGTTAGTTTTTTTGGGGCGGAACCACCCAAGAGGCTGGAATGCCGAGTCCTACGACGCCCTTGAGGTATCGAGCGGTAGAAGCGCCGCCCCGCAGCCGAGGCGTGAGGGGGCCCGCGGGAGGAAGGGGGGGGGGGAGCTCTGCCGAAACAATTTGTTCTCATCGATTTGGGTGTGTGTGGTAGTGATGCCCCCACGGTGACTGAAAAAACGCGAGGGGGAGGCGGCGGCCGCGGCGGGAGGGGGGGGGGTAGAGAGACGACGAAAGTCCGGTCCGGCGGGACCCACCCGTTTGTGATTGTTGTTGTTGTTGTTGTTGTTGTTGTTGTTGTTGTTGTTGTTTTAGGCCACCGCCTGATCACCGCGGCACCCGAGGGGACGGGGGCGGCACGCGGGGTCTCGGTTTGGAAGGGATGGAGGGGGGGGAGGGAGGAGGGAAGGCAAGACGGCGCTGTGTGTGTGCGTGTGTGGGCGAAAGCTTGTAACTGTAAAGGATTTGTGTGTTGTGGTGAAACGCCGGGCCAGGCAGGGGACGACGGCGTTGTGTCGGATGGAACAGGCGGTAAATTCTGCTAGAGGATATCATGCATGATATAGTGGCATTGGAAACAAATGAATGCCTCGCCTGTTGGGTGTTTTTGTCTGCTGTGTTAACGTGGTTTTCGAATGAATGCTGCCGCTGTTGCTGCTTCTCCGAGCTGATTTGATGGTTTTGTGGTTCTTGTTCGTTTTTTTTTTTCCCCCTCTCTCTCTCTTTCGGCGGTTTTACGATAGCCAATGAGCAACGTGCCCCCCCTTCATATCCTTGTCCGCTGCTGCTCTGTGTGAAGGCCTGACCATTCTCTTTCTCGAGGGCGGCGAGAGATTTTGCTCTTTTTGTTGGTTCGAGGTACAGGTTGGCCGCCCGGGTTGATACCGCGGTGCCCCTGAAGGTCTCGGCCACTCTCGCCCCGGAAGTATTGCATGAGTCGAGGATGTTTTTGTGAGGCTGGCAAGGGAACGGGGGGGGAAATGCGGGCCAACGGGACACAATATTGTGTACATTGTGATCGCAGATGGCGAGGCCAAGTAAATGCTTTTTCTTTTTTTTTACGCCGGCACGGTAGTGGCCGTTCTCGCGAATTTGGAAGATGCTTCGGATGGCCTAATATCAAAGAGTGGTGTGCCATGGTTCGCTTGCTTGTGCCTCCGGGACTTGGCAGACCCGTGTGTCATGGTGTGGTGCGTGTTGCTTGGGGGAAGATGAAGAAATCGTTTCTGCTGCTGCTGCTGCTGCTGCAGTAATGGCCGCTCGTGCTTTTTTTGCGGTGGTTCGAATGTTGCGCGCCCAGCCGTGCTCGCGGCTTGCGGCATTCATGAGGCACACGCCAATATTTTCGACTCCTTTTCTGTGTGGGGTTGGGTCTGTCTCAAGTAGGTTTTATCTCCACCTGGCCGGGCGGCGCATCGCGAGAGGGGAGCATTACTTTATCATACTTCTAGTACGATAACACACGCATGCATGAATGTGAAGGGCGACAGAGTCAGAGACTGAAATGAAAATCCATGATGACGGTGGTGCTGCTGTGGGCATGGAACGTGCTCTTCCGCTTGGTAAAAAAAAATCTCCATGCTGGTTCTCGCGGGTGGATATTGCGATTGTAGCATCCACTGCTGTAGACTACATGTAGAGCTCCCACCTTCAGATCCGCCGCAATCCCATCCCAGCCTTCGTCTGCTGCATACTGAAGTACATTTCATGGTCATGACAGTGCACTATGTACTACAGATGATCAAGGCGCGATGCATGGATCCAGATGTCTTTGCGCGATGCATAGTCAATGGAGACATTGATACGAATTATACTGGACGTAACAGGGTACACCACCAAAAAGGGAGAGGGCAGTGCAATCCGTTCTCGTCGTGAAGACAGCAGAGTCTGTGCAGGTCCCAAGGTCGTGAAAAAAAGCAGGAAAAAAAATCGAAAAAGAGGTTGAATACTCCCACCGGGGTTCGAACCCGGGACCTCGGCTTTATCAGAGCCGCGCTCTACCAACGGAGCTCTGGGAGCTGGATGAAGAGTAGGGAAAATTTTGAGTATCTAGACAATATTGTTTTCTACAATTTTATGGGGAGGGACGAGAACTCACACGTTTTGACGTGATGATGCCGGCGATCAGAGCGCGCGGTAACTGGGGAGATGTCGGGGGACCTGGGCCGAAATTCGATTAGTTTTATGCCGTGTGCGGTTCATTGGACTTTTCTGGGAATACAACGGCCAGACGTGTAGCTCTCTCTTACAGGTGCATGTAGTAGGTGATACATGACGTCATGAGGTATCAAATCCCCTTGGACCGATCTTCAAAGCTCGATTTCTCCACACAGTAGTAGTAAAAGGAATGGCGGGGCCGAAAGCGGCGGCGTTGGAACCACCTTGTCGAATCGAGTGGTGTATCATTCCTCATCGTGGGGAGTAATCGAGATAGCTGCGAATATCGGTCCAGGGGGTGTGGTGGTGTGGTATCTTGTGTCACCTACGGGTAGATGATGCATCTGTTGTCCCTCGGAAGAGCACGAACCAGGCGCTAAAGTCAATATACTGCGGTACAGCTGTACAGTAGTGTAAAGGGGGTAAAAGGTTAGTCGCAGGCACGGTATAGTAGTTGCATGTGTGTGTTCGTCCCGTCTTCCCTTCCTTGTGTAGGGTCCAAAACATGTGCGCATGTTGACAGCGAAGACACCGGTCCACCCGAAAGTCTTGGCTATATGAAGCTAAAGCTTCAGAATGCATATTCTCCGAAGCGTTTGCTGTTTGAAATGTCCGTACGTCTCCCTCGCTCTCTATCGAACGTGACGAATCATCACGACGACGACCTTGTAGGTTCGCCCTCTTGTCAGAAGTACGAAGTGCCGAAAATCTTACAAGAGTATCATGTTTTTAAAAATCAATGCTTTGCCGTTCGGTTTCATCGCTTAATCAGCATGTGTATGCATGTGGCTTGACGCGGCACCAAACCTATTGGGGGGGGTCACACGGACCGGCCTTATCATTCAACACGTTTCGCAAGCAGATCACGTGCTTTATCTAGGAAAGGGCACACACTCCCACTTCCAACACCAAGGGCTCATTCATCGTGTCGGAGGGCGCACACCGCGCGCTAAGATTGCGCCATTGATGTTGTCTCTCACCCGTGATTGATTTTCGAGGCGCCTCACTCGCAGAGACGATCGTTTCCGAACAAAACCTGGGACCCTTCTTGCTGCCGTTTGTTAAATACAAGTATTGTAGCGTTGTTGTTTTTCACATTCCGGGAAGGGGACAGGCCCACCGTTTCCAACCTTCGATCTTCCCAGGGCATCGTCGCATGTTGCTCTATATTTGATGGTGCGGAGCGTTCACGTAACGCCTTCCTTACGGATGGATGGGCGTCGGACGTTGCGTTGCGCGGGCGGGGCATTGGCCTCTATCCGTTGGAGGTTGGAGGTGCTCAAGGCCTACAAGCCAGACGACTTGCCAGCCGCCCCCCCGCCGGTGATCACACCCAGGGAATATATTGATACCTCCCAAAACCTGACCGCGGGCGGCTGTGACATCATACAGCTGTAGCCGTAACTGCTTGTAGCTTTCCTCCAGCGCCCGTCTCAAACAACCAACTCTCGCCTCGATCATCGGTAAAGCAACATTTACCACGTAGACAACACCCTCACGAAAACGAAAACAAATCCCGACACAATTAACGCATACCGCAACAACCACCGCTCCTTTCAGGACGCAGCAGCAGCAGCAGTGTTGTATCGTGCGGACGGCAACTAACCCCGCGCCGATAGACATGTATACCCCGCGAAGGCAAAAGCCCGCAAACAAACGGCAGAAAAACAACGTAGTACCTGTCTCCCTACCGTGTCTATCACCCAACATTCTTCTCTATGTGCGTATATATTCATACACCGGTGTTTTTTCTTCCATTTGGGATCTCTCTACTCTTGGGAGGGGGCAGCGGCTTCGGTGGATGGGGCGGCTTGGGGGGTGGGGGCTCCGCCCTCGATCTCCAGCAGCTCCACTGCAACAGGGGGGGCATACACAGAACGCAGAAACGAACATACAGGGGTCAGTCAGGGCACGGGAATACTAGATTCCTTGGGAGAAAAGATTCGCCATGTGTCGTTGTTTTTTCGTTTGGGGGGTAATAATATTTTCGGGTTTGCGGATGCAACATGCTATAATTGATGATTAATGGTAGGTACTGGGCACTGCGCGTTTTGGTTTTGGGGACGCAATATGGGAACGTGGTATTAGCGAGATCGAACAGAAACACATGCGTCAGAGCATGGAAAATACCTTATTGGGGGGAGTACTGTATGAGAATACGGTGCGAGCTCGACGGAAGATCTACTTTGTGGATCGGGAACCACTGGCCCAAAACGCAAGCCAATACGATCTTTTGGCTGTCAATGAGCCGCAGGAATTTCAGCTGCTAATAGGAATCACACTCGCAATCATTTCAGCATTATTACCGCTTGTTTGCCCCTGACTACACAGTTGGAAAAGGAAGCCTTCCTCAAGACCGGCAAAAAAGGAAGCAAAGACTGCTCCATACTCGCGCACATACGGCACTCCGGTTTACATGTACATCATCGGCGATGCGTGCCAAGCGCCAACCAGCACGTGCGTCAGCCTTTGCTCATCCAACTGGTGGTACCGACAACAGAGGTACACACCGGTGTAGAATGACAAGAAAAGGAGGAACGAACGGTCGTCAAGACAACCAAAAAACACCAACAGCAGCTTCTTCTCTAACGGCTACAGCAGTAGTCTATGCTTACCCTCGAAAACCAAGGTGGCGTTTGCTGGGATGGGGCCGGTGCCCTTCTCCCCGTAGGCAAGCTCCGGCGGGATCGTCAACTTGCTCTTTCCTCCCACCTTGACAGCAGAGAGAATGGGGGTTCACATGGGGCGGTTTGGGTGTATATACCTGTGATACGAACAACATCGGCGGCACTAACCGTTGGGGCCACGACAAGGGGCCCCGTCAGACATGCTGCCGTGTACACTGCTCAAACGCATAAAAACACTTCTGATAGATGTATTGCACGTTGAGGCAGCAACACTCAAGGGATTTCTCCGTTGTCCCCGCAGCCGGCGCACCTCAAGCACCGCGGTGCCTCAAGGTACCGCAAGGTCGAGTTAGTTTCCCTGGGCTTCAGCGCGGACCGGAAGAAAATAACACCAAGCATAAGAGCACACACATGGGCGTTGTGCTCAATTTCCTGAACGGAGCGTGTTTGTCATCCCGAGAAAACCTCCATGCATCCATCCAACCAAACGTAGAAAACGTCACCTCAATACCGACCTCATGACAAGTCTTGCCACCAACACACAATTAACGCAACCTCCCCTTCGCTGTGCTGCGGCTACATTTACGCAAGCGCGTGACAATGTGCGCGCTGTTGTTGCTGACAAAAATACAACCTTTGATCTCCCGTTGTTTCGCAGGGTCACACAGACATACAACATGCACGCACCTTCATGAGCTGGACTCCCTCTGTCCAACCCTTGATGACGCCGTTGAGGGGGAAGCTGATGGGGCTTCCTCGCATCACGCTAGAGTCAAACACAGACCCGTCGATGAGGGTACCGTGGTAGTGCACCTGAGGTCGCACACAAAAATGATGAACATTTGTTTCACATGCTGCTTCGACACCAAAAAAATAAAAACGAAATTCAAGGTACGACTTTGGCATATGCATACCTATCATAGCAGAACACGGAACAACTTACACGCAGAGTTACACACACACAGCCTAGCCTCTCCAATGGCGTCCCCTCACGGGGTCCCCGGAAAATGGCCTTTAGGACCGCGCTCTTCGGCCGCACTTACTGACGTTTTCGTTTTCCAATGGTCAGTCGGCTACTACGGTGATGCTAAATAGAACTGAAGACATAAAAACACCCGCACACACATGACACCACGCCAAAACATCCCCTATTCTTCAAGAATACAAGGAAAGATACCTCCCCGGTTCGAGAGCGTGCACGCCGGCCAATCGATCAGCCTCGACGGACCCAAGACAAAAATCACCCACGATGGCACGGTACGGTGTGGTATCACGAGGGCACTCGCCTTCACGGTGTCGGTGGGCAATGGTGACGCTCCGGTCCCCTCCACCACCGTCTGGACCACCATACCGCTAAAGTAGCGCAACAAAGGGCACGCCAATCAGAGGAACGGGCACAGCATGGCCGAGCAACGTTAGGGTTTGCGGGGGCAACGCTGTGCCAGGCTGTACACAGAGAGCGTTAAGAAAACGACGAGAAGAAGAGAATCAACAATAATAGCAGCGTCCAAAGAGCTATCTTCGAGAAAGAGCACGTTGACGTAGAAACTCGGAGAACTTCAAGCAGTCCAATATCTATAGGTTTGAGACGACGAAAAAAAAATCATAACGCCCAAGTCGAGGTACGAGTACCTCACGGCGCTTCGCGCTTGGTGTCTGGTCCGGTGAGAACCCGGCGTGCTCCGTCCCGGCTTTGTAGGGATGCGAGGTCAATGGTCTAACGACTACGGCATTCACGACTATGGATACACCCCCCCACCCCCCTTGGGGGCGTATGGAAGGGATTCGAAATTGACGAAGGTGAAACGCTGAAAACGGAGGGTCTAGAGTAATCTAAGGCAAGAAACCAAGGATAAGGAGGGTCTGGAAGTGTACGGAATGTTGGAAGAAGGAACAGGGTTTAAGGAGTACCGAGGTACATGGACCAATGGATGCAGGGACAAGCTGAGGGTCAAATTCAGGACCGACAAGTTCAAATGTGCCTGCGACGCAAAGTGCGAAGACCGGGTTCTGGAGAGGGAAGTGTACATGACTGAACTGGGAAAAATAGAAGGAATGCATGCATACAGGGGGATGCTTTGAAGCATGGAATAGCGATTAAGCATGGAATAGCGAGGAAAAGACGGTAGCCGTAATGGCGCATAGGAAGTGGGTTGGAAAGGCGGGGAAGTGATATCGATAGGATAGATATACTATGGAAGACATTTTGAGCCACCTTTGGCAAAGTAGGAAGGAACTATTGGCC